ATGAGAGATCTGGTATCAAGAAAACCAGACTCCCTTTCCTATTCTGACTTGGTATCAGAGCAATTTATCGATCACGCAAAATCGATCCATATGGCCTCATCTAATTCCACTTCTGCTTCATCCTTTGTTATTCCAAATATTACCTCACTGATTTATGTCAAACTCGATGGAACAAATTACTTGAATTGGATCACTCAATTCACTCCTGTGCTTAGAAGCCAAGACTTACTAGGCATTGTTGATGGGTCTGAGGTATGCCCTATTCAATATCTTGTTGATTCCACTGGGAAATCTACTTCTAATCTAAATCCAAATCCAAATTATCTGGTTTGGTAGAAGAAAGATCAATTTATTTTGGCATGGATAAACGCCACTCTCAGTGAGAAAATCTTGTCCACAGTTTATGGACTTACAACCTTTAAGATGGTTTGGACCAATATAGCCACCAGATTTGCTCCTCAATCTCGATCTCGCATTTCTCACCTCAAAAGACAACTCCAAACTTTGCAGCAGGGCACTAGATCCTGTTCTGACTATTTGCTTCTAGCCAAGAGCTGGTATGACCAGCTTACAGCAGTTGGTAAACCTGTTGATGAGGAAGATTTAATTTCCTATGTCATTGGTGGTCTCAACTCTACCTATAATCCCTTTATCACCTTACTTCATTTTGCAACCAGAGACAAATCCATCTCTTTTGATGATTTCCAAACTGAATTACTCAACTTTGAACAACTGCTTGACTCTCAGACTAAAACACTTCTAGTGATGGCACTCAATTTGCCTTCTTCACAAACAAACCAAAGGTTCCATTGGCAAGAAACCAAAATTTTTCAACCAACAAGCCAAGCTTTCCTCATATTGTCAACCTACTCCTAACTCCAACTCTAACCAAAATTCTCCCAAACCTCAATCCTCTGGCAGCCCTTTCCCTTCCCATAAATTGCTACCATGTCAAATATGTGGAAAGACCAACCATCAAGCATTAGATTGCTATCATAGAATGGACTTTACTTACCAATGTCGACATCCACCAGCTCAGTTAGCAGCTATGGCAGCACATACTCATGGCACACATGAAGTTGAACAACCATGGTACCTTGACAGTGGGGCAAACAATCATATACCTCTGAGTTGGCGAATCTGACCTTACAACAGCAACCTTATCAAGGCAATGACAAGGTCACAGTAGGGAATGGAGGAGGCTTGCTTATTACCAATATTGGTTCTTCTATGCTTCTAAACTCTAAAAACAATTTTCTTTTGCATAATATCTTACACTTTCCTCATGCATCTTCAAATATGTTATCCATACAAAAATTTTGTAGTGACAACAACTGCTATTTTGTTCTAACAGCTTCTCATTTCTTTGTTAAAGACCTACAAACCAAGAAAATCCTCTTCCAAGGGCAGAGTGAAGCTGGCTTATATCCTCTATATCTCAAGCAGATGAAGCTCAACACATCAAACCCAAAAGCTGCTCACATTTCATCCTTCACTGCATTACAAGGTGTCAAAGCTCACATTCATATCTACCATTCCAAACTCACTCATGCCTTTGAGTCCATAGTTTCTAGAGTTGTTAGAGAAGTTGTGCTTCCTATTTCTGGTCTTGTAAAGCACAATAATATTTGTGAGTCATGTCAAGTTGCTAAGAGTCACAAACTATCTTTTCTTGAGTCCAATAACAGATCCAAACATCCACTTGAGTTAATACACTCAGATGTTTAGATTTCTCCTGTTTCTTCAGTTAGTGGATATAAACTCTATGTTTTATTTATTGAT